GGGAACTAAAAGTTCTCTCTGCATACATTTGAATAATGAGGCAGATTATAAAGATAACTAAATCAGATATCACAGTGGGTTGAGATTTTATTTTATTCATTATTATTATTTATGCCTACAGCACCTGGTCTTCCTAGGTGGTCTTCTATCCAAGTACTAACCAGGCCCGAACTTGCTTAGCTTCCGAGATCAAACATCAGGCTTGTTTAGGGTGACATGGCCATAGACCATGGACCGTGGCTCCACTCGGGTGTGAACCCAGGACCTCCTGCGTGTAAAGCGGCCGTGCTAACCACTGCACTATGGAACCACATCCTGGGTTGAGATTTTAGACCTCAGTTTTGCAATTTAAAATTCAGCTAAAATTTAACATGACAACCTTAAAAGTATTACATTCTACCAATGATTGCACCAAAAGATAATTATTAAAAGACACCTCTTTATTTTCATTAGTCTTTAAGCAGTTAAGCAGCAGCAAAGCCCCCAAATGACTACAAATACCTGAATTAGCTGAATAAGTTTGTCTCTCATAGATAGTTTAAAAATTAGCTTTTTCCCAAAATGTCACTTCAGTGGAAAGATATTACATTTCTATTGCCAAACACAGCTTAGGAAAAGGTTTTTAATTAATTCGTGAATTCACTTTAAGTAATGAGTCCTTAGCATTTTTCTCTCAAATGATCCAAAAACATTTTTTTAACTTTACGATGAAATGTGATAATGTTACTTTATGGAAGAAAGCTTTGTTAGCAAATGTCTGATACAAATAAGCCTTCAATCACAACCATTAACATACAAGTAATAAAAGGACACTTTATTCCTGCTCAAAAAAGATTTAAGTGTTTAAGTTAAGATGTCCTTTCCCAGGTTTAAGACTTCCACTCAGGTATGAATCTCAAATAGCATTGATTTCCATGTTTAAATGGCTTGGCAGCTTAATTACAATGGTAAACCAAGCATAACTTAAACAAATACTACTGATAGATTCAACAGATACGCCCCATATAACTTGTTCACATTGAATATTTATACTTGAAAATGTTTCTTCTGGGTTGGTACGATATCAAATGACTGAAAATATAAAGGACCAAAATATATGAACATGAGCACTTTCAAACCATTTTCATGTTGATTGAAATCATCATTAAAAAATTTAGGTAAAATTATATTTATGAAATAATATCAAAACATTTGCATAATAAAAGCTTAAATATATGTGATCCATTTTCCTTCGAATTCAAAATATGCCAGCGCATAGAAATACACGAGAAGTATTAAGCGCAGTTGTTTCTGAAGAAAAGGAATATGAGGCCTTTGTTTTCTTTCCTTTCTGACTTCCCAACTTTATAATTAGCAGGGTTAAGCTTATATTTAAAAGAAAATAAAAACATTTAAAAAAAAGGCCTTGGTAAATCTATTTTCATATATCAAAAAGGAGGACAGGGGATAAGAGCTGTGGAAATAAATGAGGTATGGGTACCAGAAATTGAAATAGGGTTCAGGTTATACTTGTGATAATAATTTCTTTCCATACTACTCTTCTTAAAACCTTTTAAGAAAGCCATAGCCACATTATTCCCAGTGCCAGAATGTTAAAGAACTAGTAGCCACCAATTCTGTAAATATACAATATATTTGAATTCCAAGAGAATGAGAGAATTGTATCAGCATCTTACTGAAAAGAAGTCTGACTTTTCTGTTAAACATACTGGGCCACCAAATAACAAACTTAGACAAAAGATTCTCCAAATTTGTCATGTAAGTCATAGTGAATTTCCTCTTTGCTTCTGAAAAGATTCAGCCTAGAGGAATAAACTGGTTTTTGTAAAAATCACTGTCAAAGAAAATAAATTTCTTCAAACAGGAAAAGAAATTTGGAAACTGGGAAAAAAATCGAGCTGAAAGATTTTCAGAGTTCAATTATTTGAGTTTCCAGTTTTCTGCTCCAGACACCAGTAGTGATGCCCCAACACATATGGACAGTTCTACAGGCTCAGAGAAATGTTACTTTTAAAACAAAGAAACAAATGAGCATCTGCCTACTGGTGTACATTGCAGATGGCTCTCCACAATATTTAATGAATAAGTGAAATCATAGAAACTTATATGTTTAAACAAAATAAACACCTTCAACTGCTAAAGAAGAAACCAGCTGCCAGGGAAGTACTAAGCAGAATTGCACGTTGTTACCCATGGGATTCACCCAGATATCCTTTATATTGAAGAAGAGGTATTTTCCAGACTCGGAACAGTTTCCTAACTTATAGTTTCAGATATATTCTAATACTGATATTTTTCAAGTGTTAATAATTTCCCTACTAACTGCTTACGTAGTAAGTGATCTATTATCAAGCTACTATCCTGTTTCGTAATACTACTTGGTCTTCAGCTCTTCACATCCGTTATTTGCATGGCTCAGAAGCCTGACAAAGAAAGTATTATTAACCCTATTTTGCAGATGAGACTATCAAAGCAAAAAAAAGAGAATTGAAGTAAAAAGGTATGGTTAAAAAAAAAAAAAAAAAGACAGGCAAGGTCACAAGTAAGCTCCAAAAGCAACAGTAAAACCTCGGTTTTCTGACCAGCAGTCTAGTCCTTCATTTGAAGAAAGTTGCTGTTTAAAGGCCACTCAGAACACAAATCACTCCCACCCACCCACTCTCTAAGATTTGCTCAAACAAAACAATTAAGTAGACTTTAAAGTTAACAGGAAATGACAGAACCAAAAACAACTGGGGTGTGGTCTCATCTCAGAAAAAGATTTCCAGCTGTGAATAAATGCAGACAACTCTGGCCAGACAAGATAATATCACATCAGGATTTAGTGCCCAGTACAATGGACCTATATATACAACGACACCTTACTTTCTTAGAACAAACTTCAAGGTATTTCGAACTCTGGGCAACCCAGGAAAAAAGCAACATAGGTCAACAGGAAGCCAAAATTGCTGTGGTCAAGTTCATATGCTAAAGTTATACATACGAGATAAATTGACACACTCTAAGGCCCTGAAAACATCTATTTCCTTTATTTGAGAGTAATCTTATAAAGTATACAACATGTAGTAATTTATGATTTCGCTGAAAAACAAATTTGAATCATATAGATCATGAGAGTATTCACTGAACTGTGAGCATGCCTAGCAAAGCCAGCACCTGCATTTTTACCACATTTTACTTCAATTCTATATTTAAGGGTCATTTTAAATTTCCTTTATATCTTCTACATGTTATGGTAGAAATTACATGCTATAATGGCGTTCAGAATTTGAGATTCTTGAAGGTCTGAGGACTGCCACTAAGCTTCACTCAGATCCCATTAATTTTGACGTGATAACACAATTCTGGTTTATTTGGTTTTCCTGCCTACTTCAGTTTAGAAGTGGTAGATTAAAGGGCATATTTTGACAGATAGAGAATAGTACTGGAGGAGATAAACTAAAAACAGACAAAAGCACTAAACTGGTATAGCAGTGAGGAGTCATTTCAGTACAGGAAGAAGCTGCCAACACCCTTATACAGCAGAATGCACCGGCCATATTAACAGCAGAGGACAGAAATTAATGTACATAATGATGACCTTGATTTATCAAAAAAGGTTATATTCAGTATATACTGAATTTTAAGAGATGGTTATATACTCTTCATGGGTTATATGTTATAAAGACTGACATTAAAATGGGCAAAATAATTTAGCAGTTAAAGAGCTAAGTGTTGGTTATGTGAACAAGTCACTTAAATCTCTAATGATAAAGGATAAATGCTAAGTAGATAAATTTCAAAAATCCCATTACATTTACTAAATATTATATAGTGTAGATAATGAACATTTATGATCAACATGATGCTGACTTTTTAGGGGAAAAAACTAAGTTACACACTAAAATTATGTAATGTAGACAATCAACATTTATGCTTGATGTTTTCAGTAGGAAAAAACCTAGTTAAAAACTAAAATTCTGCTCCCTCATAGACTATACCATAGGCTTTTCCACTTTAAAAAAATGTATTCTTGTCACCAGTCTAAGTTTACTTTGTTCTTCTAATTACCAAAATGAAAAAATAAAAGTATTTTAATAGTTTTCCCCACTTACAGCTAACCCCTTTATCCAGAGGCCACTAACACAGCTGGTCTAGGTATATTCCCTTCTTACAGTGTTTTCAAACCGATTGTTAAAACTAAGAGTTGTACTTAAATCTTATGGCTGAACAAAAGCAGCACATAAATTGGTGGTTATGTTTAAATCGGCATTCTTAGTTTAAAGGCAGAAACAACTATAATGTAAAACCTTACAAGTATTAGTAAGGAACATTTTAGTTTATGTTGGACATCTGAATCAGAAAACATTGTTCTCTAAGTTTTTATGGCCAAAAGCAAAATAAAACATCAACATCATGTCAAGAGATCTGTAAATCCCTTTCAAACACAATAAAATGCTTTTTATTTGTATTTGTTTCACCATATTGTTTCTTTTAATTACATCAGTGACTTGTGATGATCTGGAGAAAGCGGGCCAAAAGGTATGTGGTATGTGTCCTAAAGAGGTGGGGAGGGGGAGGGCGAGCTGATCTGATCCTAAAGAAGGGGAGTGGCAGAAGGATCTGAGTTGGGAGAATCTACTAAACTCCCTCCCCACATCACCCTTCGTGGCTTCCCCAGATAAGAGACTAAAAAAGGGGAATCGTTTCTTAAAAAAAAAAAAAAAAAAGGGATCTAGGCCCTTTTGGGGTTGTGGGAGGAGAAATCTCCACTTCACCTGCATGTCCAGCTAGCTACGGGTCCAGGTGCAACAGAAAACGCCTGGGGCCCCAGCGGGGCTGCCCCCGTGGGGATCCCTCCCTCCCGGCTCCCACACCCCCTCCAGGTCCTTCTCCGGGATGGGCTCAGCCTGGTGCCCCTGCCACCCTCCCGCCTCCCTTCTTCGGTTCCCTCCCTCTGTCCCCGAGCCGTCACCCGGCCGAGGGCCCCTTCCCCGCGGGTCGACAGGCCCGCTTGGCACCTTTGATGACGCGTTCGGTGGTGGAGAGGTGGAGGTTCCTCCCGGACATGATCCCCTCGGCCTCCTCCCAGCTCCTGGAGACCGCCAGCGTGCACCTCCGTCTGCGTCCCCGGCGGTCTCGGCTTCCCGGGCCACTCGGCTCTTCAGGGCGGCCCAGGCGCGAGAAGGAAGCGGCCGCAGTAGCCCAGCCTCGAACCCCGCTGACAGGACGCCGGCCCACTGGCCGATCCTTCCTGAGGCGCGGAGTCGCGAGCG